GGAGGGGGAACTTGGGCACCCTCAGTCTTTGTTAAAGCTTGGATGATGATCTCTCTTTTTTACTAGACTTAAACTTTCATCAACACAAGATATCAGTCTTGCTCAGCACTGTGTCTTCAGCAGGTAGCACAGGCCTGGAATCAAGTAGGTTAACAGGCTTCGCCGAATGCGTTGATCCAGGGTCCCAATCAATTTAAGCAAACAACTTCTCAGAGGGCAGATGACCCCAGAAGTCACCAACCACCAGGCTGGATCTGAACCTGTGACCTACTGGAATATTCCACTACCTACATCCACCCACCTTCCCTGCCAGCAAAAGCCAATTTGTAAAATTACCCAACAGTCCAGACAGACAAGCACAGGGATTGTTGGCAGGTGCTTTTGTGCCAACATGACATGAAATACCTGTTTCTCGAGGACCCGGGAAGGCCGTCTCTGTGCTGTGGGCTGTATCTTCCTGCTCCCTTGAAGGTTTCTAAACAACCCACTGGCCCAAGGCCAGGGCAAGTAAGTGCATTTCTTCCCAGCTATGTGTAAAAGAGGTTTAGGGTTTGGGATCTTTGGATGCAACAGGCTCCGCCTCATTTCTTTTTTTAAGTAGCCTTGGCCACCTCATTATTAAATGGGAGAGGATAGGACAGTGGTACCCATGTTGTGGGGCTGCATGGAGGCTGAGTGAGCATAGTGAGAATTTGGACATGAAATGTTGGGCGCATGCTGCTGTCCATCATCTGTTCACACTCATCATCTTCACTACCACTTAGCTCCCCCCAGCACACACACCCCTACCTACAAGCCCTGTTGTAATCCCTGCTTTCAGATGAGGAAACTGAGGCTCAGAGAAAGGAATGAACTTGCCCAGGGTGGCACAGCTTTTCAGCAGATGGAACAGGGCCTTAGCCCTCCAGGCAGTCTGATGTTACACCCAGGACCTTAGTCTCTGCCTTGGTCCAGCGTGTTGGGGCTGAGGGTGCTGTGCTGAGACTACAGAGCCCCAGGTTCAAGTTCCAGCCTTAGGCAGCCTTGAGCAACTCACCTTACCCACCACCCCATGCCTCAGTTTCCTCGTGCATAAAATTGGGAGCTCTTTTAGGCAATGTGAAGAGTTCTCCCAGCTCTAACAAGACCCAAACCCAAAGAGGGCTGCGGATATTATGGCCTTTGTTTTCCGGGTTCGAATGTGCCCCCCAGATCTCCATGCCATGCAATTTATCAGACAAACCAAGTCACGTCTTCTTATTGGCCCCATGCACCCGTGGGATCAGCAGATGTAACATTCTGACATCACACTTAGAAAACTTCCCCCATCTGGATTTCTGCAACCCACAAGAGTCATTTGCCAAACATTTTACAAAGCATGGGCCCACTGTACTCTGACTTGTTGTGGAGCCGATACAACCCACCTTTTCCCCAAGCACGTGACTCTGGCCCATGCATGCTGTCTGGCTGGGGAGAGAGATGCAAGACTACTCATGTCAGGGGTGGAGGGTGGCAGCAAATGTGCAAGGTCACACATTGCTAAAAATGTAGGCATGTAACGTGTTGATAACAGACACACAACAGGGGTCAGTGTACAGTGGAGAAGAATTCTAGCATCAGGCCAACTATTGCTGTCAGGGGGAACATTGAGAAGCGTTTCCACATATCACCACTCGCTTTTCCAGATGACATTCAAGAGAGGAAGAGGCAGCGGACATCACTGTGGCCAGTGAAGTTAGGAGGTTTGGAGGCTCCAGAGTCATGACAGATGTTTTGAATATTGTAGCCAAACCCCTCCATGCAGAGGTTAAAATGCCCACTTTCTCTGGGGCACAACTTTTTAAAAAATTATTTTTTTTAATTGTAGTAAAATATACATAACATAATATTTACCATCATAACCATTTTTAAGTGTATAGTTCTGTGGTGTTAACTATATTCATACTATTGTACAGCCATCACCACCATCCACCTCGAGAACTTTTTCATCTTCCTAAGCTGAAACACTGTCCCCACTAAATGATAACTCCCCATCTCTACTCCATAAGGCCCTGGCAATCACCCTTCTACTATCATTTTCTTCCTTTCCTTTTTCTTTCTTTCCTTCCTTCCTTCCTTCCTTCCTTCCTTCCTTCCTTCCTTCACTCTTGTTGCCCAGGCTGGAAGGCAATGGCGCGATCTTGGCTCACTGCAACCTCTGCCTCCTGGGTTCAAGCAATTCTCCTGCCTCAGCCTCCTGAGTAGCTGGGATGACAGGCGTGCACCACCACGCCCAGCTAATTTTTGTATTTTTAGTAGAGATGAGGTTTCATCATGTTGGTCTGGCTGGTCTCGAACTTCTGACCACAGGTGATCCACCTGCCTCGGCCTCCCAAAGTGCTGGGATTGCAGTCATGAGGCGCTGCGCCTGGTGCCTTCTACTTTCTGTCTCTATGATTCTGCCTACTGTAGGTACTTCATCAAAGTGGAATCATACAGTGTTTGTCTTTGGTGACTGGCTGTTTTGCAGAACATCCCCAAGGTTCATCCATGTCATAGCAGGTGTCCGCACTCCGTTCCTTGTTAAAGCTGAATAATCCTCCTTTACCTGGATGCACCATTTTCTTTATTCCTTCATTCATCAATGGAGACGTGGGTTACTTCCACCTTTTGGCTATTGTCAATAATGCTGCAGCAATTCCCAGGCTGGCTGAGTAATTGATAGTCTACAAAACTGCTTGGCACAGCTGTCCCCAATCTATAGGGAGTGGTTGTGGGTTCACAGAAAACCCATAAGACTTTGGAGCCAAAATACATCTGGTTTCCAATGCTTGACTGGCCAGCTACAACTTTAGGTAAATTTAATCCTCCTGAACCTCATGCTGCTCATCACCAAAATAGGAATTACAGTAGACAGCACTGGTCGTTGTCCGAGCATCCACACCACCTCCTACATCCTAAGGGAATCTTGATTTCTTTTTTCAACTTTCTTCTGCTCCCAGGTGATCTCAAGGGGCTGAGATATCCTTTGTTTCAGGGATGGGGCAAGCCCCGCCCCCTTTGCAATGATTGGTTCAGACGCTCAGGCTTCAGCCAATCGGTTGCTGGCAGTGCCTTAGCAACTGTGGCTAGTGTTAGGCCCTTGATCTGAGCTGCCCAATCAGGTAGAGGATGAGCTTTTATTCCAACTTGGAGAAATGACGCTCCTCGGAGCTGGGAAATGAACACGAATTTCTGCAGCTGCTGATGCTGCGCCATCCTGTAAACACAAGGGAAGGAGCATGAGAACGAACCCCAGGCACAGAGGAAAGGCAGCCATAAAAAGGTCAAAAAAACGGAGCTGGAGCCTGATTATCCTCCCTATCTTGGGGCACACTCACACTCACACACTCACTATGTTTGCGGACTGAGAATTAGAATATTCAAGCAAAACAGATCTCCTTAAATGGCAGTGACCTTACCTGAAATTTAACGGGCCTCAAAGAACTGAATTTACCAGTCTAAGGTCAACCAGGAAGGCTGTGTGCCTTCAAGTCCAACACTCAAAGACGCCGACCAATTCATCTGTCGCCTGTATGATGCTGCGTTCACACACATGGGTGCACAAGCTCCCCCGAACACACACACACACGCACACACACGCACACGCGCACACCTGCACGCATGCATACACACAATCAGATTGAGAAATTAAACCTCAAAGTAATAGTGGGCCTCAATTATCCTTCATAGCTGTGAAACAGATGGCTTGTTAGCTAGTCACTGGAGTATTGCTTCAAATAGAGACTTACTAGAGAAAAAGCAGCACATACAAAAGTTTCTATGATCAGTATTACTGCTGATTATGAAGTAAGACATCATTGGAAGTGCACCAAAAATGAAAAATGCAGGGACTGAACAGAGAAGCTGAGTGGAAGAGAAGCCAGGTAAAGAAGGAACACATATTTTTTTCAGCCCACAGCTTCATTCTTTTTCAGCGAAGCAAGGGTTTCCTTTAAAGTGAGGGGAGACTCCTAGACCTTTCTATTCCATTTCCAGGCACGACCAGACACCAAAACCATCACAGAGGAAGCTTGAAAAGAAAGACTTCATGAAGACTGTCGGTCAAGACACAACCGGGGAACAGAAACATCTCAGCAGGTACAGGAGAAGGAATTTAATCCAGGGAGGAGATCGTGGCCAGTGGAGGGTCAGAACAGCCACTGCAGTGTCAAACCACACACAGTGAATTATTCGTTCAGATCTCATGACAAGGAAACTTGGTGTCTTTGTCCACCTGGGCTGCTGTAACAAAATGCCATCCACAGGGCGGCCCATGCACAACAGAAATTTATCTCTGACAGTTCTGGAGGCTAGGGTGTCCAGGATCAAGGCCCTCGCCGCTTCAGTGTCTGGTGAAGGTCACTTCCTGATTCATAGATGGCACCTTCTCGAGAGTCTGCATGTGCTGGAAGGGGCAAGGGGCCTCTCTGGGACCTTTTTTAAAATTTTATTTTTATTTATTTAATTGTTTCAGATGGAGTTTCACTCTTGTTGCCCAGGCTGGAGTGCAATGGCACGGTCTCCACTCACTGCAACCTCTGCCTCCCGGGTTCAAGCGATTTTCTTGCCTCTGCCTCCCAAGTAGGGATTACAGGTGCCCGCCACCATGCCCGGCTCATTTCTGTATTTTTAGTAGAGGTGGGGTTTCATCATGTTGGTCAGGCTGGTCTAAAACTCCTGACCTCAGGTGATCCTCCTACATTGGCCTCCCAAAGTGCTGGGGTTACAGGCGCGAGCCACCGTGCCCAGCCTTGAGGCTCTTTTATAAGGGCGCTATTCCCATGCATGAGGGTTCCACACGAACCACTCACCTTCCGAAGACCTCACCTCTTGATAGCATCACATTGTGGGTGAGAATTTCAAACATTCAAATTTGAGGGAGACACACACATTTGGACCACAGCACACAGTTGGGTCATAAAGCCAGGGTTCCGAGGCAAGTATGAGGCCATCAGCCAAGGGTGTGTGCATCGGACAACACTCAACTCGGGATTGGCACCCAGCCAGTGCCCTACACAATACAAGATGCCACTGTAGGAAGAGGGATGACCTCTAGCAAGGTGGCCCCTCAGTGGGCCAGATGGGGCTTCTGAAGAGAATTTCTCTAGCTTCTTGGTGTTTCCTGCCTGCTACTTTCAAACAAAGATCCCGGTTTTAATGTTCTCCCAGTAATATTTTATGAATCTTATTGCCAATGTAAAGGAAATTATATTTTTGCTCTTATCATTGTTCACTGTATTCTCATGTAGCATTTAACATTGAAAGGTAAGAAAACCAAGAGAAAGAGAGAGATTTGAATGTGGATTTAGACGCAGATATATAGAAATAGATACATAGTAGAAATTTAAAAGGGGTTAGCTATGGAGAGGGATACACAGATGGAGATAGCAGACAGACAGTTGGATGGACAGACAGGCTTTTTTCTTAAGTAATAATAGGAACCAGAGGATCATCAGGAGGGGGAGGAAAAGTAAAAGATGAAAGCCCTGTCTAACATGACCACAAGTTCTCTAGTTTGCATTTGTTCCCTTGGTGAGCAGAAGGGTCTGTGTCCTCTCTCACTCACCGTGATGTCAGGAACCTGTAGCATCCCAGGGCACAAGATGGTGACGTTGGCCATCTGTGCCCTTCTCTGCCTTGTACCCTAGGCACGCCCCTCCTCTAGATCCCAGTTTCTCTTTCTGCCAAAAAGGGGGCAGACCTGGTGAGTAGCTAAAGTTTCTTCCAGCCTGAAGGTCCCTCGAAGATCTTCTCCTGTGCCCTCCCCACAGCCCTGGTCCACACTCTACTGGGATTTGCTGGGCTAGATTCTCAGAGGAGCTCAACATTGATCGAGTCCCTAGCTCCACGTTAGATCTTTGGGAAATTAGCTAAAGATCTCCTAGTAAGATGCTTGTAACTTACTACATAAGGTGAAATAGTGACTTTACAGTGCAAAAACTATAACCAAAGTATTACCACCAGCAGAGGGCTAAATCAACACCAGAGGCCCCGTGATCGATATATATGATCAGGATGTCACATCCTGGTGTCCTTGCCCCAAGTCTTGATGTGAATCTGACCACGAGGACAATTCAGACAACCCAAAATGGTCAGACATTCTACAAATAAACATGAAATGTCATGAAAGACATGTCATGAAAACATTAATGTCATGAAAGACTCCGGAAGTTTTCCATTTAATGGAGACTAAAGAGATACAACAACTGAATGCCAGACATGATCTTGGATTTTCTTTTGGCTCCAACGGTGTTAGGACAATTGAAGAAATGCGAATGAGGTCTGTAGCTAATAGAATTGTGTCAATGCTACATCCTTGATTTTGCTCTTTGTACTGTGGTTACAGAACAGAATCTCTTTGTTTTCAGGAAATACATGCAGCAGTATCTAATAGTAAAGGCATGTCTCGTCTGCAACTTCCTCTGTGTGTGTGTGTGTGTGTGTGTGAGAGAGAGAGAGAGAGAGAGATGTAACAAATACGCTAAATATTAATTTTGGGGACTCTGGGTGAAGGTATCTTGGGATTTTTGTGCCCCTCTTCTGTACATCTGAAATCATGTCAAATAATAAAAAAAGGTGTGGCTCTGCAAGGGATACCCAGATACTCATGCAGAAGAGAGAACTGATTCAAGAGATGAACCCAGGTGGGGAGCCACTATGGTGCCCACTGGGGAATGAGCCTGCAAATCTAGAAGAGGCTGCACCTACAGCCCATCCCTCCAGGATGGTTCTCCCAGACCTGCTTCAAGTGTCATGGTTTAAATTCTCAGGCACCCCTCGGGCCATACTGACATTTATATTGGCTTTGGGCCAGGAGGAGCTAATGTGCCTTGCACATGATGACAGCTTGGAGAATGTAAAAATGCTGACCTGTTATCACATCTAATGATGTGATACCTGCAAAGACGTAGCGTGTGCATGGAAGAGTGTAATGGAGTCCTACAGCCTTAAGCCACGATTTCGTGTGTGATACACAGTAGTCACAGCTGAAATCTTTCTCCAGTGTGGCTGCTCCCTACTCATTGAACACAAAGCAAGGTACACAATTCAGTTTTAGCAAACGTCTCATGAGATGCACTAGCACGATGTTGAAGATCACGTGCGGGGAAAAAGAACAACCTCCACCCATACCAAGTGTTTTCAGTGCCAGGCCCTGCCTGAAACACAGCCGTGATCTCCATTTGAGCCAGGAAACCCCCAACCACGGGGAGCCGCAGAGCCCCCCCAGTGACTCTCTGGTGTGGCAGTGCCAGGGTCTGAAGCTACTGAGGCTTTGCAGGCAATATCTCCAGGCAGCGTGGTAGCTCCTTCCCAGCACGCCACACTGCCCTGCACACACCGCTAGCTTCTGTCTACACTGCACTTGGCACTGAGTGCAATCCGATCAGATGCAGCATGAGATTGCTTTGTTCCGTTTTCCCAAGGCCCACTCACAGGGCCCGCAGGTACCTGCACGTTCCAGGTTCAGGCCCATCGTCATTCAATCGAGCCACCATGAACTGAAACATCTGCATCTTTCAATCGCGTCCTCCAGTTTGCCCAGAGCCATCCGAGCACGGATTCAGAACCGGATCTTTGCCTCTCTCAACCAAGTACACAGGGGACTGAAGCATCCAACTCAAGTGTGGTGTTTTAAATAAGGAGGAAGAACGTAAATTAACCCACTGACCCGTTTCCACAATCGTCAAAGTCACGTGGTTTTATCGGCATTGTCATTTCTGTGTCTAACTTAGCTCTTATGGGCTTAAAAAATAAGAATAACTGTTCAGGTATGCTTGAGAACCAAAGAAAGAGCACAACTACTGTTTTCCCACATTGTCAAACTCAAACAGCTGTGACAGATGAGCACCGCCTACTGAGGTCACAGTTCACCTTTCTGCACAAGAGCTGATGGCTTTGTTCTGGGGAAGGACTTTCCATCTCCCCGTGCTTTGTGTCCTCTGGCCTCTTGGGCCCATCCTTCCACACCCAGCTCAAGGGCCATATTCAGCCTTCATCTTTGGAGGGATGCCCAGGGACAGATGTGTCCACGGGACCCCCAGAACACAGAGTGACCTTTCGGGGCTTACCCTTCAAAGGTGCCGTGTCATTTCCCTGTGCCCTGACCTCCACGCGGAGTTCCCTCTTTCCTTACTGGCCGTGGCATTGCATGGGTATAAGTGATTATATATAAGACAGGTATAGGATTTGTTTTCTGATCATCCGTGGGTTTTATATTTCTGCCAAAAGTTATAAGTGAGCAATCTTATGTATAATCTGCCAGCTCAAACGGATACAATGTAGGCACAGGCATCTTGTGTTGAGAGGCATGATGGGGCCATCCCTGGGGTCTGCAGGGAAGCAGGCAGCAATTGATGAGTGGCATTCGTCCTGGGACGAAGGAAGGCAAGAAGCAGCCAGTATTTCCTGTTCTTGGTACAATGTTACCCTGCCACAAAGGTGGACAATCCCACGTTTAAACCTGAAACTGACTTGTTCCGGCCGCCAGCCACTCCCACATCCCCAAACCAGGGGGGTGACTTAAAGCAGTCAGTGACCTGCCAGAATCACTCGAGCTCTTGCTGAAATGCAGATTCTGAATCAGGGCCTCCATGGCAGGGCCTGAGACTCTGCATTTATAACCAGCTCCCGGGCGATGTCTGAGGACTGTGCCTTGGGTAGTGAGGACCTACAGTGAGTGAATGAAGAGAACTTACACAAGAGCCCAGCACATTCTTTTTTTTTTTTTTTTTTTTTTTTTGAGACAGAGTCTCGCTCTGTCACCCAGGCTGGAGTGCAGTGGTGCGATCTCGGCTCACTGCAAGCTCCACCTCCCGGGTTCACGCCATTCTCCTGCCTCAGCCTCCCGAGTAGCCGGGACTACAGGCGCCGCCGCCACACCCAGCTAATTTTTTATATTTTTAGTAGAGACAGGGTTTCACTGTGTTAGCCAGGATGGTCTTGATTTCCTGACCTCGTGATCCGCCCGCCTCGGCCTCCCAAAGTGCTGGGATTACAGGCGTGAGCCACCGCGCCAGGCCAGCCCAGAACATTCTAATGAGAAAGGTGACATCTCCCACCCCTCTATCATTCACCAGCTTAGGACAGCTGGGTACCTCGTGGCCACCCTCGGTCAGCCCCACCTCTCAGGCCGGGGCCTACTATCTTTGACAAAACCCCTCTGTCCCTCCCACGCCTGTTACTCTTCAGCCTACCCAAAGTCGCCCATGAGGTGCTGGATGTCTCAGGCTTGGACCTCCTCGCCACTGCCTCTGTTCTTCCTCGGTACCCTGGGAGCTGCCCACGTGGGCTCTCAGTGACCCCTCCTCTCTGGCTTCTGGCAGACCCCCGGCCAGGCAAGGCAGGCAGGGACAACCCCCTCCCCAAACGGCGCTCGTGTCTCCTGGAGACCTGTGAAGTGTGAAGGCAGGGGGCCTGGGGAAGGGCCAGGGTCTGGTGAAGGAGGGCTGCTGCTGATATTTATTAGAACTCTTTGTTACTTTTATTAAATCTGGAGGCTCCAGCTCAGTTCCCTCCTCCATGAAGCCTTCCTGGCTTAGCTCGACCTTCCTTAGTATCTTTCTTCTTTGAATGCCCTCAGTGAAGAATTTAGGCCCTTATTTTGAGCCATCTTCCTTCTTTTTCCTTAGTTGCCTCCAAGGTTCAGTCTGGTCCCCTCAACATGACAAGAAGTTTTGATTCACTCTCACAGTAAACTTTCGCCAATGAGGAAAACCAGAAAACACATCTGAAACTCAAATAACTCAAAAATGGTTTGAAAACAGTCTGTTTCTTTATGTCTCTCCCAATGTTGGTAACACGTGTTTGGGGAAAATGTCTAAAAATAATGAAACACTTTTTTACAATCTATTTTTAAAACAAGCTTTATTGAGATATAACTCAAGTACCATACAATTCAGCCATTTAAAGTAGACAATTCAGTGGGTTTTAGTATATTCACAGAATTGGACAACTCTCAACATGGTCCATTTTGGAACATTTTTATTAATTCAGAACCTGTGTACCTGTTAACAGTCACCCTTACTTATCTTGTTGTTTTCAGTCTGCATTTAAAACACAAGGCAGGAAAAGCCCATTAGCAATGTCAATCCCAGGACATATTTTTTTGTTTGCATTGTCTTTGATGCTGATCCCTTTGTTTCAATTTACTGGCTAAGTTTCAGGAGAATCAAATCAATGGCATGAAAACCTACCTGTTTTGCAGAACATCCCAGGTCACCTGCCTCCTTGCACACCTGAGGATTGAAGGAGGGCATGGCACCGTGGCGTCCGCCGCCCCACCTGGCGCTCCCACGCCTCTGGCCTCACCCCTGTCGGAGGTGAGCGCTGGTTCCCACCAGTCTAGAAGGAGCTTTAAGCTCTGCCTCCTATGTTGTAACAGAGCCCGGGAAGGAAGCTTTCACTTGTGAGCCAACTGCAGGCTTGACTGACTCAAAAGGGTGGTGTGGAAACAAAGAAAACCCTGTCCATTGAAGATGGTCATGACAATCATAATACTGCTATTTATTGAGTATTTGCAGAGTGTCTGGCATGCCACTAAGAACGTTACATGCATATCTGGTTTAATCCTCACGACGACCTTTGGAGGTGGGTCTTACTAGTTTGCCCGAGTTTACTGCTAAAGAAGCTTACAGGAAGAGCTTACAGGAACTGCCTGGAGAGTCTTCCCTGATCTTCCCATCAGCCTAATGATCTGTTTGAATAGAGGGAGGGAACAGTCTGAACTGGACAATCTTCTGAAGTCTTCAAAGCTCTCGACTCTGAGAATTCTAAAGTCTACAAAATCTGAATCACAGGACACCCTTCGAATAAAAGCACTAGATCATTTTAAACCCAAAAAGAAGGGAGATGTGCATGCGGGGGGTGTGGAGACAGCCTATTTTTAATGTAAGTCAGTAATGCCTGCTATGTGTGAATGACATGAGAGCGCTCAACCTCTGGGAGCCGTCCTCAGGTCAGCCTTGGTGAGTCTGACCTCAGCTATGGGTGCTCACCTGGGCTTTCACCTGTCCTGAGGTTTACTGTCCCCCACCTGCAAGCATGAGGCCCAGAAGCTGCCATCAGCCTTTGGTCTCTGGTACAGGCCCTTAGCTGTGAACTCGTACTATTAATGTTAAAGACATTGATGTGGTC